AGATATACAGACCAGATCTCTGAGAGGAGCTCGGTTGAGCCCTCCTCAGCGACAGACTCCGCCCCCCCGGAAGCCCGAGATACCTCATGTACACTTAACAACCTGTGCATTCAATTAACAAATGATCCATTCATTTAATATGAGCCAATCAATAAATTCTTGAGTTACAAATGTAATTGGCAGGGTCCACTACATTTGTAACCTGAATATTACCTGTAGTGCATTCTAACCATTGCACTACCAGGCTCCTAATTAAAGAATAAAAAAATTGAGATTATTGAGAAATATATGTATTAAATCAGTAACATTAAAGGAATTATTGATTAATCCATATGTCACAAAAAAAAATTCTACGACACTTTATTTCTATGAATCATGTGCTTTTCCCCTTTACACCTCTCGTATACAAAGAAATCTAAAGGCTCTGGAAAAATCAAATGACAATTGTTATAATGGAGTACCATTAATACATTTATTTAATTATAATTTATTTTTCAACCATAAAATGAACAAAGTGTAGTTCTGGTCTATTCAAGAGTAAAGATGATAAAAAGTAACTTAAAAAAAATATTTACCGATATCAAATGCCTGAAATACAAACAAACAAGCAATGTATCTATATAAACTTTAATTAAGAACCTTGTGTTGTAAACCAGATGATACAGTATATAATTAGTTGTGCCAACAACTGTTGGTAACTGAGTATTTCAGTAAAATTTGTACAGCTGTATAGAACAATGAAAATCTGGGATTAGTTCATTAGTCTGAGCGATGAAATGTAGCTCAAATATATTGCATCTTAAATTAAATACATGTGCTTTGATTTTTCAAATGTTATCCATGCAAAAATATCTACTTTTGATATTTTTATCATGTGTTAAAAATTCAATAGGCAGATATGCATTTTGGCAAAAAAAGAAAGAAAGAAAAATTTGAATGTAGGTTATATAAAATATGAGATACCTTGCATAAAAGTAAACCAAATCCAAATATATAGAAGACTCCCAAAGACATTAGTTTCTTATGCATGAACTTTAGTTTCTTCAAATAAGTATATAATTATGAATAACATTTATGAATCTTCTAACATTCAGTTAAAAAGAAATTATTCTTTGACCTACTGTTTAAAAAAGTTTCAAACTGTAACAAAAGTAAAATGGTATTGTTGATATTTTGCATGAAGAGTCTAGAGTTTTAAAATATATGATACAAAGTCATACAAATTAAAGAACAAGTGTAAAGTACTGATAGATCTATTCTTGCTTCACATGGACGGTATCATTATGGGCATCTACAGTATCAGTTCTAAAAAGTTAAATTCTATTTCTAAAGCAGCTAGCAAGGCTCTGATAATAAAATAATGATCCAAGCTTATAATTCTGGAAGCATCCGACATTTGCACTATTAATTGAACCAATGATTTAGTATAACTTGAGCAGGTTTTTTTTTCTTTTGGTTCATACCAAATTCTCAATACACCCATAGTTTCTGAAAGAAGTAAGTTTTCCTTTAAAAAAAAGTTAATACCTCATAGAAACAGTCAGAACAAAGACATTATTTAACTTTTGTGAGAACTCTAAATTTGAAAAAATACTTGAAGGAAACAACAATTGAGCTCTATTTTTTGAATTGTAATGAATTTATCTCTTGGGATAATTAAATAGGGAAAACTGGATTAGGACATTACAACTCTTATTTACAATTCTAGGAAGTAAAACAATGTTAATTCATTGGAAAATGCAAATCATTTTCCTCCAGGTTGGCCTTCCCAAAGAAAGCAATATGTGTCTGAGAGGGAAAAATCTCCTTTCAGATAGATTTTGTTAACTGCTAATCTGTTTTCTTTTTACTGCTTAAAAGTAAAAGTTGTTATTACAGCATTTGATTTGATTTTTAAACACTATTTTAAATACTATATTCATATTTATGCAATCAGATAATTACTTTCCAAATTTCCATCATATTTATAATGAATTAATAAAAATAAGGTGTCTAATATTAATATCTAAATTATGCATTTGGATAGAAGTCAACTTACTCAAATGTGCAATTATATTTAGATAAAATACTAAAAGTAAATTTATTTATATAGCTATTGTGGGAAGAAATATCCATCTGGTTCAGTTCCAATTTGGAAGAAAGACGCTAAAGACAAAATGGAAGCTGGTGGCTGATTAGAAAGAGGGCCATTTATTGATGAACAGGACCACATGTTTGTGGTTCTGGTGCAACTGACAAAATGGAGTTGAGAGGGAGGGCTTTTTATACCTTATCTTGGGCTTTGCACTTGAGCTTCTTGTTCTTGTTCAAGAACGTGTATTCTATTGGCTATTGTCAGACTCCCATGGGGTCATGTAGGAGTTATATAGGGGTCATAGCTGGCTCTATAGGCAAAGTACAAATCCTGGGTGTTTGTCTGAGCTAAGTTTGGTTGAAGTTTGGACTGCTGAGGGTGTTGCAATAATTCCTACTGTGGCTTAATGGCTTTTGTCCTGTTTTGGATCTTGAGTGAGGGCTAATCCTATCACTCTGTCTTTGCTCAGACTTTGCTGCAGGGAATTTCAAAGTATCCTATCTTGAATGGATTACCAAATTTGCATTTCTAAAAGCTGCCTCCTCAGTATTTGCTTGGGGGCTGGGAGCTGGGGCTCTGAGTTTCTGCCTCCCTTGAGATTTTTTATTTCTCTTTTAGGGGAAATATTTTATTCTGCCTTTTAAAATATTCCTCAAAATATTTCATTCTTCGTGGGCGAGGGCTTCCCACACTACTAAGATCATTTACAGCAAAATAAACTTCTCTATGACTGAAATAAATCCCACTTGATTTGCATTATTTAAAATAATATGTTGAGTTGAAGTCCCATTATATAATTAAGGTACTGGAATCCTTTGCCGTTAATACTTATTAATGGATCCAGAAATAAAGTCTTTTACTCCTTAACTTGCATTCTAGTGTTTTCAATCCATTTATTCACTTCAAGTACAAAAGCTGTAAAATGAGTACAATGCTTTTGCTTTGACTGTATCTTTAAAAACCTGAAAAGTCAGAAATGACAGGGGCCATTAGAAACAAATGCAGTACACAAAACAGATAGGATAGTACATACAGACATAGTTGCTTCTACATATACCACATACAATCAATTTTTCAATCTCTATTATGTTTTCACAATTTATTATGAAAGTTAAAGCACCTATGTGTGGTGATTTTATTTTTACTATACAGCTTACATTATTAGATTTAACACTACACTGTAACTTGCCCCATTGGACTGAATCATGCAACTGTTGCAGATCAGCAGAAGTGTTTCATAAGGCATAATTGAACATATTAAAAAGTATTCCTCAAACTTTTAAAACTTGAGTTGCTTGATGAAGGAGTTTCTGGGTGTCTCAGTCCTTGAAGTTCCATAGTTAAATCAGGAAGATAATTTACTTGGAATTATAATTGGCTTAGGACAATGCCTCAAGAAATTGAAAAAAAGAAGAATTTCTTTTAGGTTCAGTCCTTTGCACTAAACTGAAGACATGTTCAGGTACATTCAGAATTTCAAAAAGATAAGGATACCAAGGGCAGGCAACAATAAACCAAGACAGCTAGGTAATATTCCAGCAGCAGCTCCTGGAAAATCAAAGAGGTTTGCATTTTATACAAAGATTGAAGATTAAGCAAGACTACAAGTAAAACAGATATATTCTAAAGCAGTGATGGTCAACCTTTTTCTAAAGGTGTGTCAAAACTGTTTGCGCACGCTATTGCGCATGTGTGTGTGCCCACCCACCTGCGCATGTGCGTGACCCCCCTACCTGTGAATGCACAAGCGACTCCCACCTGCACATGCACAAGCAAACACCCACCCACCCCCATGCATGCACAAGCGATTTTCGCCCTGTCTGGGCTTCAGGAAAGCCTCCATTCTCAAACTTCCGGTTGGGCCATTGGGCCTGTTTTTTGCCCTCTGTAGGCTCCGGAGGCTTTCCTGAAACCTGGGGAGGATGAAAACGGCCTCCCCCAGCCCTCCGGAAGGCCAGAAATCAGCATGTGCGCCTGAGTTGAGGGCTGCAAATATGGCTCCATGTGCCATAGGTTCACCATCATGGTTCTAAAGATTCTTCCCCAAATTGTATTCTCTTGTCCTATTTTAAATATATTCATGTTTCTCCTCATTAAGGGTTATTATTTTGCCTCTGTGTGATTTCAAATTAGACTTTACTCCTGACAACTACAAAGACAAGCTCCTGCAGTTTGTTTTTTTGACAACATTTTTGGGAAGTAGTTTCTAGGGCTCAGAAGAGTGACCGCTCCAGGATCAATATCAATAATGAACTATCAATATCAAATTGTCAGTTTTAGATTTTCTTTTCCTGAATTATAATATCAGTAGCAGAACATTGCCAAGATTTATATCTAACCATTATTATACCATTAATACTCTGAAAGATCCTCAATTCCTTAGAAGAATGTGGATCCCTATCAAACTGGAGGCTCATTATCCAACATTACACCATTATTTTATAATCTGTTCACATAGTTTTCTCAGTAAAATAAAGTAGAATAAGTTTATCCCATGTAATATAAAATGATATCTTCACTAATTTGTCCGAGGGGATATTATTTTGTTTCCAGCATTGGGCAAACGCTATTCTAGCTGTGGTCAGCAGATGTACTTAATTTTCTTTGTATATTTCCCTTTGATTATTCCCAGCAGAAAGAGTTCAGGTTTGTATTTTATTTGTTCTCCTGTAATTTCTTGCACCCGTTTCCGAATTTTTGTCCAATATTTTTGAATTTCCGGGCAGGTCCACCATATGTGATAGAAAGTCCCTTGTATTTTTTTACACTTCTAGCAGATCAGATTCATGTTTGGGTACATTTTAGCCAATCTCGTTGGTGGTAAATGCTAACGATAAAACATATTATACATATTTTCTTTGAGTGCTACTGATCATGTTACTTTATAATCTGTGTT